GCTCTTACAAAAAAAACTTAATCCAATCTGGTGATATCTTTTGCGCTTCTCTTTGTTGAATTTTTCATAGATTTGACTGTTAAAATCACATGAATGAAAAGAAAGCAAGCTCACAATAATGAAGAGAGGCGCAACCGAACTTCCAATTCTATTGTCAATTAAAATGTGTTTGATTGATTTAATTTTCAACATAAAAAATGTATTTTTTCATAGAGTTTAGTTTTGGGAAGCGTGAATTGCTTAGAAAATAAAAACTTACCTCCATAAAGAAAATATTTTCCCTGTTTTTGAAGAGAACTTGATCACTTGACTAACTTTTGCAAGATATTTTTCATGGAAAAAATGCCAATCAAAAATTCAAAAAGTAGAACTTAGGTGAAAATATGATTTTTTTTTTCATGAAAAATAGTCAATCAAACATTTCCCAAGTGAAAAGTATCACCGATTTGATTGTGGTGAACTCCACACGTTCGTACTATTGATCAAAACAAAAAACAAATATAATTGATCACCAACGATAAGACATGGTGTTCATTGCTATCAAAATTGATGTTAAATACTCAAAGTATTGAATAATATTATTCAAAGAAAAATCATACTAATATGCCCTTTGTTTGATTCTTATTATTTTCAAAATACATTTTTATTTCTCTTATTTTTAACCGCACATTCTTTAATAAAATAATATTACAAGCAAATTCTAAAAAATTTCTTAATTTTCAATCACACATTCTCTATCAATCTATCATTCCAAAATACATATCTCGAATTTGGCGAACTCTGATAGGGCGACGATACGAAATTCACAGGTAAAAAAAAAAAATTCCTTTCGAGATGAAAAAGCAGAAGAAAAAAAGAAAAAGAAAAAGAAGACAATTTTCTATCTAGCTAGCCCTAGGGGAGGATGAAGCAATATTTATTGGAAGGTGTCTTCAACAATCTTTCAAGGGTCATCTGTTTTTATCACCGTCCCTTTGGCACCTTTAAGATGCCAAAATTTTTACGCCAAATAAAATTTAGGATAAGATACATATACCTTCCCAAACGCATCAACTGAAAAAGTGCAAAAATAATGTAATTATAGAAATAAATTAATCCAGGCATGTCAATAATTTAAATGATAGTAGCTAACATTTAATAAAAAAATCGACCCCCTTGATTCGGGAGAGGGAGAGAGAGTGGTCGAATGATTGACCTTACAACAAAAATAGTGAATAAATAAATATATGCTGAAACACCTTGTAAACCAACTTATTTTTTAATTTCTATTTTTTAGTAGACCTCTAGTATTAAAAATAACTAAACACACGCATTGACTAGATATGTATTTTTTTATAGAATTATTTGGTATGTGGTTTAATATTGTCTATTGAATCATCATTTGACTTGCAAACTTCGAAAGATACACGAAACAATTAACAATTAATCTATCCGGCCATGACTAGTGTCGATGCTCGACTCCTCACCGACATTTTCTTAAAAAAAGATGAATTCACTATAAATTAAGACTACGTTTGAGCCCATTTTTTGGAAAAATAAGTGATTTCTGAGAGAATGTATGATTAAATATGGAAAAAAAAAAAAAAAAGGTTTATGATTGAAAATGGGTTTAAAGAAGAAAATGAATTTTTATAGAATGAATGTCAAAAAGGGGCTAAAGACAAATGAGATTGACATATATATTAAGAAAAAATTGAATTCTTAGTTAACATAAAAAAATAAATAAATTAGGTGCCTTTAAAAACGATAAATTTCTTTATAATAATTATATAACCATACAATTATGTACATATATAATTAAAATGATTATCGAAAATTTTCTTTAGTAGATAATATTAACAAGTAAACATGTGATGTTTTAAGTTTAGAATAATTGTACGTGTGAATTGTGATGTAACTACATAAACGTAATTGAAGAATATGATTCTTTAATGAAATATTCTGAGAGTACAAAATTATTTTCACAGAATTCATACAGGAATTTAAAATTTATCTCATATGGGGATATCCTCACATGATTAAAATAATGTCAAAAACCTCCCCCACCCACCTATTATGTGTGTTGTCGGGCAGGTACATGAATTTAAATTCCCGTACCCGTAGCTTAACTCTTTTTTCTTCATACATCTAGATATTTACAAATCTCTCTACAAGTTAAGAGCATTGTAGCACAGTTATGATATAAAATTTCATAGACGAATCTATATTTATAGAAAAATGTTAAGTGTATATTAGGGGGTACATAAGGGTGTTCATAATGGACACTCGGCGCCCCTGCACTACATCCAATAGGGGAGCGTCAGGTGTCCATTATGGACACCATTATGTATCCCTTGATATACTTGTAGTATAACCCATATTTATATTCTTTTTTTTGCACCAACCTGTCTCAACAACTTGCCTTGCAAATTTATTTGCACCACACAATTTCGAGGACATTATCGGCACTGTTTAGGGAATTTAGTGGTCAAGAATATACGTTATAATATCCTTCTTTTTAAGAGGTGGATAGAGAAGGGGTCGCATCACATTGTAAATGCAACAAGGTTTTCAAGGTTTGCTCATTGTATTACTTGTGTCCTTAAATTTTTGTGTGGATGTTTTATCTTTGATATTTCATTAATTAACACATTTTGTCTATACTAACGACTTCCATCCAAAAAGAATTATTTACTCATCACATTTAAAAAAAATTAATACCAAAAAGCGACAAAATATTTTCCCTAATTTCAAATCACGCAAGCAGTAAAAGTGCATCTATTCCATATTTACCATTTTCGTCCAAATGGTGAAAGTCAAAATTTGATTTTAACTATATATTTTATAAGACCACAACCACCATCACTTAACCCTCAAGTTAAATCAGTAAAAATATATAAAAAATGAAAACGAAATATAAATAAGTTTTTTCCCCGGGCACCCACGCCCACCTAAACCTAGGCCTCGTATTTTGAATGCAAATAATGAACACTCTTGTATAAGTGCAACTCAAAACGTAGGGATAACTTCATAGCGAATACACTCGTGAGTTGTGAAGAGGCGAGATGTTGTTGGATTTCCATTTTGTGTCCCCCATTTCCACATTTAAATTATTCGCTTATTATTTGATATTTATATAAGAAAGTATTATTTATATAAATAGTTAAGTCGAGAAGTATTGTTCATGTCCCCGATCTTATTGTGATAACCAAACCAAACTTAAAATCATATCCCGTTCGAATCATTATAAACATTTTACTTGTATGTTTTTGTTGTTTTCCTTGTCTCATGTTGTCATTTTCAATATTGAATTCTAGCCTCAAATTACAAGTCGGCGAGTGTGTAATTAAAAGGGTGGGTTTGGGACAGGGCATGAGCTGCTGGACGAAGAAATAGTGAGCGTCGGGGACAATGACAACTGAGTGGGGGGAGCAGGATGAAGAAACTAAAGTTTGTTTGGCAGATATTCTGAAATCAAGTAGGGCACAAAAAATTCAGATAATTCCTTTTTCCTAGAGGAATAATCCAACATATGCCAGCCAAATCCACTACTTTAATAATTTACATAAATAGAATTTTAATTCCCAAAAATTAAAATAAAAAGTTTGATGAAACTTGCACTCTTTGCCCCCTATTAACTTAACTTTTTAAGTTTTGCAGCTCTCATATTAATTAAATTGTAAATTAAAATAAAAGAGATTTTTTCTTTAACATTCATGATGATTCATTTTTCCAACTAGGTAATGAAACCATTTTTTTTTAAAACTAAAAACGAGAGTTTACCAAGGCGGGATGCGTGCCTTGACGACCAAGGGAATAATAAAACACGACTTAAATTAAAAGAAATAACAATTTCATTAACTTCTGAATTTTTTGTCATGCTTATTTCTTATATAGAAATTTAACTTAATCACTGTAACAAATTTCTATATTCAATTATTTAAATGCAATAAAAGCTAATACAAATTAAGGAATGGACTTTGACCCCCTTTAAAGAATAAAGAAAAATAATAAAGAGCGGGCGAATTACCAAAAAAAAAAAAAAAAAAA